CCGGCCTGCTCTAGGCAAACGCCTAGTTTGCCTAGTGAGCAAGCCGGCCCTGACTGGATGGGCCTTTGGCCTGATCCAATATTGGCATCTCTTATGTTCTTATGTGCCACTGAGCTCTAAATTTGTTCTACTGCTTCAGACCAGCACGGCTGACCACCTGGAACTTTCCAGAAGTAAAGATGGGGAGCCGCGTGTGAGTCTGGCTGGAGCAGTAGAAAAGAGCAAGACTCCAGGTAGCACCTTAATGAGGAACAAAAATTTGTGGCGGGGGAGGAGCTTTCGTGAGTCGCTACTCCCTTCTGCAGGTAGATCAGGATGGGCAGCCGTATTAGTCTGTCTGTAGCAGAAGTAGACAAAAGCAAGAGTGCAGGAGCACCTTCAAGACTAACAAAACATGTGGTGGGGGAGGAGCTTTTGTGAGTCGCTGCTCACTTCTTCAGCCACGAAAGCTCCTACCTGTCCCTGCCACATATTTTGTTAGTCTTTAAGGTACTCCTGGACTCTTGCTCTTTTAGGGTTGCCAGCCTCCAGGTGGGGCCTGGAGATAATATCCTGCTTTTACAACTGATCCCCAGCTGACAGAGATCAGCTCCCCTGGAGAAAATGGCTGCTTTGATGGGTGGACTCTATGGCATTGTCCCATGCTGAGGCCCCTCCCCTCCCCAAACCCCGCCCTCTCCTGGCTCCACCCCCAAAGTCTCCAGGTATTTTCCAACCCAGACCTGGCAACGCTATGCTCTTTCCTAAAGGTAAAGGTTTCTCTTGCTCAGAAGCTAGTCAAATCCAACTCTAGGGGACGGACGGTGCTCCTTTCCCTTTCCAAGCCGAAGAGCCACCGCTGTCCGAATACTTCTCCATGGTCATGTGTGCCAGCTCTGGGTTGGGAAATGTCTGGAGATTGTGGAGGTGGAGACTGGGGAGGACGGGGTTTGGGAAGGGGGGGGGACCTCAGCAGGTTACACTGCCTTAGAGTCCACACTCCAAAGCAGCTATTCTCTCCAAGGGAACTGATCTTGCTTGTCCGGGGATCAATTGTAATAGCAAGAGATCTCCATGTGCCACCTGGAGGTTGGCAACCCTAATTCTTGTATTTGTATGTTACTATGCTGCCATTGGCAGGTCTTCGCAGCCACTTAAATCCAATCTAGCTATACTTATCATCACCTAGTTACTCATGCATCTTGACTCAAACCAATTTAAAATATTACTCTATTTTTTATTCTCTTGTTTTTATTCATTGTTGATTATTGTAATAAATGAAAATTAATGAAAAGTGGACCATGCTAAGAAAGGGATCATTATCATCTCTTCGTGAAAATCAGGAGTGCCGCTCTGAGCATGTAGTGAATTCAGGGACAGTAGCCAACAGCCTGGAGAAAAAGTGCCACCTGGAGTGCTCAAAAGCCAGTCAAATCCAACTCTAGGGGGCAGTGCTCATCTCCGTTTCCAAGCCGAAGAGCCAGCGCTGTCCGAAGACTTCTCTGAGGTCATGTGGAGGGCATGACTAAACGCCGAGGCGCACAACCTGTCCCTTTAATAGAGGCAGGGTGGGATGTTATTTATCTGCTGATGCTTTTTATTAAAAACTTCAACTGCCCATTTCCACATTTTAAGTCTGTATTACAGGAACAGTAAATACAATTTTTCTCTGGGTTGTTGGCAATCCCGCAACCAATGCTCCCTCTAAGCTATGAAGTCTTGTGAGCAAAAATTCTACTTTGTGAGCTACTGACATTAAAGTTGTGAGCAAGCGATTTGGCTACTGCATAAATTAGTTTGCTCTGGAACCATCCTTTCTGAGCTAAGACAAAAATTAGTGAGCCGGAGGCTACAAAATCTGTGAGCTAGCTCACACTAACTCAGTTTAGAGGGAACACTGCCCGTAATGTCTGAGTTTATTTTGCCCTTTTAGAGCCTAATTATTTTTACTCAGGAAACCCCACTCCATTACTCCCTAGTAAATGCATTTTGAATTGAATCCTTATTGTTCTGTAATTAATTGCTAGATGGCTACCATGTGCAAAATCCTCCCCCCCCCCATTCACTGCTAACCACAACCAAATTTAGGATTAGTTGAGGTAATCCAGGGCACAAAAGAGAACATCTGTAAATTCTCGTTTAAGGTCAGCAACTGGAATCCCCTGAGACTTGATGTCTAGGCTCTGCTGATGCTCGAGTTACAATTCCATGAGGAAATCCCTGTGCTGTTAACGCATGTAAGAGATTTGGCTAATATTAGTGACATGAATATTAGGGCATGAATCATATTAAATTCGGACTGAGTAAAAATCTTTCGGACCATGTTGTATGTGATCTTTGGAGGCTTCAAACAGAATAAAATCTTCCTTTGGAACTGAAAAGTACTCGGAAACGTGGAGTGATTTCAGGAACTTTATGAGGTGATGAGGTGAAATGAGGGCCAAGAAAGAGCATTAGAGACATCAAGTGAAGATTCATAACTGTAAAACAAACTTCCCAAGATTTCTTGGGGACATTGGCCTCAATGCTGAGTCTTCCTTCTTTGTCAACGTTAGCGACCAGTGACTAAAACTTTCTCTTTGGAAACAGCTCTAAGTATTATTAGAAATCTGCTAAGCTAGGAATAGGATTGCCAGCCTCCAGGTGAGGCCTGGAGATAATATCCTGCTTTTACAACTGATCCCCAGCTGACAGAGATCAGCTCCCCTGGAGAAAATGGCTGTTTTGAAGGGTGGACTCTATTGCACTGTCCCATGCTGAGGCCCCTCCCCTCCCCAAACCCCGCCCTCTCCCGGATCCACCCTCAAAGTCTCCAGGTGTTTTCCAACCCAGACCTGGCAACCCTAGCTAGGAAAAAGGTACAAATCAGGGGTCATTTCCTGCAGAAGCGCGCGGGAGCAGAGCTCCAGCAGTAAAGAGCCCAGGGGGCGGGCAAATGCAACAAGCCCCTGCTCCCAGCAGCCCTCAGTCAGAGCAAGAAGCAGCCATGTAAGTTGCAGAGCTCCCCCTGGTCCAAAACAGTCCAGTGGCACCTTTAAGACCAAGTTTTGTTCAGGTACAAGCCCTCCCACCTCTACAAGGACAGATCTGCACACCCCCCCCCCCCCAATAGCTAGCAGTCCAAAACAGTCCAGTGGAGCCTGAGCGGTGGGTGTTGCCCTCTGACACACTTCCGGTGATGTGAGGGGGTGTGGCATATGCAAATAAGTTATGCTAATTAGTTATGCTAATAAGCTGTACCTGTTTTTCTACAAAATAACCCCTGGGTACAATGTTATGATTCCCAGAGACAACTCTCTGGAAATCATAACATTGTACCTTTTTCCTAGCGTAGCAGATTTTTAATATTTCTCTCAGCCCCACCTACTTCACAGGGTGTCTGTTGTAGGAAGGGGAAGGGATTGTAAGCTGCTCTGAGACTCCTTTGGGTAGTGAAGGGTGGGGTATAAATCCAATCTCCTCCTCCTCCTCCAAAACAATCCTAGAATCATAGAGTTGGAAGAGGCCTCCAGGGTCACCTAGTCCAACCCCATGCACAATGCAGGAAATTCACAAATCCAGTGGCAGGTAAGGAGTGCTGCAAAGAGGTGGTAAAGGGCCGCGCGGTCCCGGGCCGTGCCGAGGTGGAGGGCTGGCTGGCTGGCTGGCAGGGAGTGCCCCTGCGCTCAGGCGCTGGCAGAGTTTTAGAAAGACACTCTATGGTTTTCCCTCCAACAATTGGGGCCACGCCCTCAACGTGGTCGACGTCGCGCATCACTTCCGATGACGTGCTGGTGGCGCGCGTGTATCTGGAGACAACTCCCGGAGCCTGGTAAGGCTCCCCCGTTTTTGAGTTTTTTTGACTTGGCAACCCTACTCCCAAGACCTTCAGACCTCCCTTTTGGCCGAATAATAGGCGTGAGGACCAGGCAGAGTACAACAAGGAAAAGGTTTGTTTTATAGGAGGTCAAAAAACAAGGTGCAGGAATAATAACAGTAAGTGGGTGAAAAGAAAAGGAACCAAATGCCCTAAAGCGTCTGAATATACTGTCCCTAGCTCACTATCTCAAATGGCCTTAGACCCTTCCCTCAGGATGAGGGTTTCTTCCCCACAGCAGCCTCTCTTCTGACTCTGTTTCCTGGGAAGAAGAACAGCTTTTCCTCTTGTACCAATTCTTATATTCCCCAGCCCTCTTCTTCCCTATTGGTCAAAATCGGCGCCAAAACTTCCCAAGGCCTTATGGGGTTTGTAGGCCCAGCCTCCCCTACTGCTAGCCAGGCTCCCTGGGCCTATTAGGCCTCTGGTGGCACAGCCCAGATCATGAAAGAGCCGCATGTGGCTCCCGAGCCGCAGTTTGGCCACCCCTGGTATAGCATTATAACCGGCTGAGGTCCCTCCCCTCCCCAAACCCCACCTTTCCTAAGCTCCACCCACAGAATCGCCAGGAATTTCCCAGCCTACAGTTGGCAACCCTACCCACAGACAGCCTCCAATACGATGTTATTTACCCATAGCCC